TTTTCCTCTTTTGTTTTTTATCCGCCATCTCTATCTTTCTGTCGCTCGGCTCGGCTAATGTCCATCCTATGCACTAAACCCTCTCTCCTCCACATCATGAGTAGACACGCCCCTTTCTGCTGATTGGCTACAAGTTTGTTTTGCTATTCGGCCCGAATCAGTTTCATAAGCGTTTTTGAAAAATCGCTTACCCCACCTTTAATTCTCCACATTGCAGCTTTGTTTATTGAAATCGCATCATATGACCCCTTTAAACTACAGTACATGAAAAATGTAGAGCCTTGTTTTGTAGGACACACACATGAAAAGTTTGATGTACAGCAGAAATAATTCAACATTATGTTGAAATAACTTCATGTTATAGCGCAATACACAAGATTTGTGATGGTGTTCACTGATAAAAAAATTTCCCCATCAATCTAAAAAAAAACTCCTCTGGAACACCATCAAATGTGGAATAAGATGAATAAAAAAATTTTAAAAATGCAAAATATTCTTGCTTTAACTTAACTAAAAAAAAAGACTATTATACAATTAAAATATATGAACACAGAATTCTAGTATAAGTCCTCGTTTAGATACCAGGTGAATGTGTGTTGTTGTTCTTATACGTTCTCTGACACCAAAACATAGAAGCTAAGAATAATAGCTGATTGGAGACCCAGGCCTGGGTGAAGATGTAATTTAAGGTAATCAAAGGTCAATCTTTGAAAGGTCAGAGGTGAGAGTGGACTAAAAGTCCTTAGGGATGAGCTCGTTAAGAGCAGCAGAGACAATGATAATGATCTGACATGACCATATCTGAAGCAGAAGGGCTCAGGTCACCTAATACTGGATAAAGACAAGTAATCTTATGAAACTGTGCCCTCAAAATAACATAAATCTGATCTTTAAGGCAAATTTATGCCGTCAGGGGAGTGTGTGAAAGAAGCTAGAAATGTTTTGCCTGAATCTGGACCTGTTCCTGGGGGAATCCCTGTTCTCTACATCTCACTTTCTTCAGAAGAAATAAACTGCGTTTGTTCTAAACTGAGAGAGAGAGAGAGAGAGAGAGAGAGAGAGAGAGAGAGAGAGAGAGAGAGAGAGAGATGGGGGAGTTCTACTCGCGACACAGAGCGCGTCACGCGTTCAGTAGAAACTTCAGGCTTCTGAGGCGATTGAGCCAAGACGCGCTGCGCTGACCCTCGCGCTTTTCACGGAGTATTATCACACAAGGAGTTTCCTAAACCAGATGTAACTGAGAGTTTTATGCATCATCCTTGTTTCTCGGATCCTTTCATGAAGAAGGGACGTGATGGGACTAAATGTATGTGGGGATTGGGAGCCGCAGTTGAGAGCATGAGCCAGAACGGGCTGTCATTTCACACACGGTAAGAAAACTACACTGTAAAATTTTTTACTTCAATTTACTGTAAGAAACTGGCAGAACTTTACCTTATAAAATGCAGTGACGATGTTGCAAGCAGTAGGGAATGGCATTTTTGATTGACTCTATAGCTATTATACAGTATGAAAAAATGATGTGATTTACCAAACTATTTAAACTAATAAATCTGTTTGCTACTGGAAAATGTAATGATAATAACAAGGACGGGACAATGGAAGGCCATATAATGACTTTGATGTGATAATGATAATCATATAACATGGAAACAGGTATTATGTTACACAAAATAACGTCGGTGTAACACATGACACTAAAATATGCATTAAAAACATTAACAGAATAACATAAACTGAAACTCAAGTGGGCATCACTGTTCAAACAAAAGAGGTTAAACAAGAATGAAATATAAACAAAGCAGGGAATTCTGGGAATTCCCTTGATTGTTCATACTTTTCAAACATGTAAAGCATATTTTCAGTATTATTTATAGGTAAATGTAGGTTATTTATTTCTTTTTACTGTATTAAACCGGTAAAATAATTAATTTGACAGTTTTTACAGTAAAATTCTCATATATGTCGGCCTAGCCTACACCTAGTGTTATGTAACTTACCAGTTAACAGGTTTTTACTGTAGCCTTTTCACACTATTTTACTGTACAATTGCATGTATTGTCTTTAAAATTAATATTTTTTTATCATAAATGGTGTGGGTAATTTAATAGCATTTTTGCATTCTTTTTATATTGAAATTACTAAAAAGTTTTACTGTTTACTCTAGATTTGTTAAACTTGTAAGGCTAATGTTAGAAAAAGGGAAATAAAATAATGAAATTAGTTATAAAAATCTGCCAATGAAACAAGACATGATCATCTCAAAATACATTCTCTGAAATCAGGTCTTAATATACTGTATATTTCAACTTCTTAAATCATTTTTTTTTTTTTTTTTTATTAAATGAAGGGTATTTTTTTGAAATTACTAAAAAGTTTTACTGTTTACTCTAGATTTGTTAAACTTGTAAGGCTAATGTTAGAAAAAGGGAAATAAAATAATGAAATTAGTTATAAAAATCTGCCAATGAAACAAGACATGATCATCTCAAAATACATTCTCTGAAATCAGGTCTTAATATACTGTATATTTCAACTTCTTAAATCATTTTTTTTTTTTTTTTTATTCAATGAAGGAGTATTTTTTATCGACAGTTTTACACTCCAGCAGAAATTCCCGATATAGAAAGTTTAATTATTAACGAATATATTTCCAAGCATGTTTGCTTATTTATAGAAGCCCTGTCTGTTTCGTTATTTGTCACTGATAGACCTTATTTCAAAAACAGTTCATAAAATATAACCAAGCAACTCAGGATTTGTTTATTTTTTAATTTGCTGTACTGCGCTACAACAGTCCAATTTGTGCAATTTGTATTCCTTGCACAGCAGTTGGCCTTAATTCCAAAGTTTATGTTTCTAAGTTTCTACGATTTACAGTTTGGTCTTTAGATTACATTATAAGCATGAAAAGTAATAATAATAATTCTGACAAAAAATAGGGTTGCCATTGCCAGCACATTCTGCATGGACATCTAAAAACCCTACTGCAGGGAATCGACGTCAGTTTTGGCTCCACTCTAGTGATGGCCTTAATGCTAATGAACAGAGAGCGTGATTGATGTTCCTCTGACTTACCTTTTGATTAAAGGAAATTTCTATCTCTTAATAAGCTACGTTTTATATATATTGAGGTATTTACACGATCAGCTGTGACTAACCCTTCTGTGGAACACAAAGTCAAGTGGTTTGAAAGAACATGAGGGCGAGTAAATGATTTTTTAGATGGACTAACCCTATTCCTATGCAGAGAAAGCTGAATGCATAATGTGCTTAAGTAAATATTCTTAGGATGGAGGATTGGTATATGAGTGACGTTCCCATCAGCAGGGTCGCATTGCTGCCCACCATTCTATCATCATGACCACCGGTAAGGACACAGAACCATCCCTGTGGCCGGATCGGGCCCAAACCAGCCTGACTGCACCGGCTCCGGCTGATGGCACATGCCTCGAGGAGGCAGAGGACCTGCCCGGTGGCCTTACTGGAAGTGGCGGAGCATCTTGGGAGTCCACTGGCAGCGTGGCAGAGGTGAAGGAGAATGTGCAGCTTCCATATCCGTCCCTTGCACCAGTGGTGTTCTTCTGGCTCCACCAGAGCACACGACCCCGCAGCTGGTGCCTTGCACTTGTGTGCAGCCCATATCCTTTCTATGTGTGTGCTCTCACTTATTTTCTGTTTAGGATGGTATATTGGCTTGAAAGAAGTTGCATTTGCAGTATTAGCACTTACAATGAAAATAGTGCAAAACTTTATCATCAGTATATTGTCAAAAAGAATGAAAATAACAATAATAAATAACAAATAAAGTAAAATAAAAAATTCTGCAAAGTTTTTGGTTAGTTTATGAATTAAACTGATCAAATAAAATAGTTAGAAAAAGACACATAAATAATCATATTTGTTAATTAAATATTAAATACTATATTATCGTCAATATATAGTCAAAGACTATGCAAATGGAGTATATAATAAATAAGTGAACTAAAAATACTGCAAAGTTTATACATTTTCTTTGGTTATTTATTAATTAAACTGGTAAAATAATAATATAAAAAAGCACAAAGCAAAAGTAATTTTCAGTTTAAAATGTAGCTAAAATAGCCTGAGAATAATCACATTCATTAAATATCAACTATATATTATATGCAATATATTAATTGTCAAAATATAGTCTATAATAGAATATACATTAAATATTGAATAAAGGACTATAAATACTGTAACGTACTGTAATGTATTTTTGTTTATTAAATTGATAAATAAAATAACAATTACTACACCTTGTTGCAACAAAAGTAATTTTCACTTTCAGATTAGCTATAAAAAGTCCTGAGGACCATCACATTCACAACTAAATATTATATACTCTATATTAGTCACCATTAATATATAGTCAAAAAATTTGCAAATAGAGTAATATAAAAATACTGCAAAGTGTAAATATTTTTAGTTTATTAATGAATTAAATCTAAAATTAAATAATTATGCCTTTATACAACAACAAAAGGCATTTCAGCTTCATGTTAGGTACAAACAGCCCCTTAAAGCTATAATCATATTGTTTGTTTTTACAGTATACAGTAATTAAACACTGGCAATTAGACATGCTGTGCTGTTAGCACACCTCTCCCTCTCAGTCTTTATCTGGGTGGAGAACTGCTTTTGTTTCTGTCTCACTCATTCATTGTTGTCCCTCTCACTTGGTGATGTTCGCCGTGGCCGTGAGCCAGCCTCGCGCTGATGAATAATTGCTGCATGCAGCATGGTTTGTCCGTATTGTTCACCTGCTTCTCCCATCTGTGCAATGAAAAAATCATCAACATTTTCATGTATTGCATTTTCTTAAGTTCTTAAGGGGCTTTGAGAGGCAAGGCAGCCTGTATGCGAAGAAAAAAATTACGAGAGAATTCTCCATGTTGCGTCATAAATTCCATCCAGGGAGCTTTTCTTGTGCATAAAGTTATGACACCAAAAAATTATATTCATAACTCAAGTCTGTGCATATCTCACAAGGAGTACCCTAGAAATTACCATAGTAGTGTCACTCTGTCCCTTTAGTGACATTATTTGACTCACAGCAGAGAAACAAAGCAATTTGGCCGCGTTACGTAACCGCATGGTCTTCCCCGTGAGGGGAGTATTTGCGTCTCATGTCTCCTTTCATGCCCTTTGATGTTAACCATGAGACGTGAGAGTATGATTGTGTGTGATTTCATGCACTTCCCAGGTTGTGAAGCATTTGTCGATTTATTTTCTGAAGGGAACATCATAAAAGGACACAGTGCTGAGGATGTGTGTGCGGTTGAAAATATTAAAGAGATAGTACACCCAAAAATGAAAATTCTGTCATCATTTACTCACCCTCAAACTCTTTCAGAGCGGTTGAATATTTTTTCTTCTGCTGAATACAAAAGAATATATTTTTAAGGATGTGTGTAACCAAACATTTGATGGTCCCCGTTGACTTCCATAGTATTTTCCCCCATACTATGGAAATCAATGTAGTCCATCAACTGTTACCTAAATCATCTTCTTTTATGTTCAACAAGAAACACATACATGTTTGTAACAACTAGAGGGTAAATAAATGATGAAAAGGAATTTTAATTTTGGGTGAACTCTCATTGTGTATTTGTAGAATGCACAGATATTTACATTTTCTGAATGAATGTAATGGTTGTCAGGTTCTGAATCAGGTTGGGATGATGGTTGACTTTTTCGCTCTTTCACTATTCACTGAATGAATGATTCATAGTTTGATATATGAGGAAGAGTGAAATCTCAACTACTTGATATATGATATGTCCATTCAGCAGACTGAAAAACATTACAGGTTTTAATGTTTTAACACCCCCCGATTTTTATTGGATTTCAAGCCATTTTCCCATTTTAAACATGGGAATTTATTTGTGTTTTTACTCGGATCTTAACAGATTTGGCAGATTTTTGCTGTTGTCTGTCAGTAAATAAAATCAAAAGTCTGATGCATAGAACAGTAATAGCACACCATTACTCAACAAGTCATTCTTTTTTGAAAAGATAGTTCACCCAAAAATAACAGAATGTCATCTGGGCTTCAAATGAAATGAGGATGAGTAAATGAAAATTCAAACTATCGCTGTAACATTTTTAGTATTTAATAAGTGTAAGCAAGAAGGTGCAAAACATATTCAGCGGACTTGGTTTCGGAAGTATTTTAATTATTTTTTAAAAGGTCTTTGTTAAAGAGTTATAAGCCATAAACCACCTAACCAACCTGCTACAAGGTGAATCACAACATTACAAATGATGATTTGAAGCAAAAGTGTAGGCTAGGGCTGTCAAAATGGCTTAAAAACTAAATTCGAATTTTGTACTTAAATATTATCAATATTCGAATTTAAAATGCATAATTTCAGTTCGGGTGAAGAAAAGCTTTTGGCTTGTCTCCTGAGGCCACAAGAGGGCACATCAAGCAAAATATTACTAATGCACGTTTATTCAAAGCATAAGATAACATGACTATCTGTGAAAAAAGTGCATAATGTTTAAAATAATGTTTATAAACCAATTATAATTAAGTTGCTTAAACAACTATAAACAAAACAGCAGCATGTATGTATGCATAATTTAATACAAAGGGCCGAAAGCCAATCACACGGAGTACATTTTTTATTTAAAAACACGAGTTGCAATGGGATGGGGAAAAAGCCCGCCATGAAGTCTCGAGATATGTTTTTTCAAAGTTGAACTTGCATTAATTTTACATGGCTTTCTAAACATGCGGCTCTTTTGTGCGAGACGCGAGTGCAACGGTGATAGAAGTCCCTCTAGAAAATGCGCAAAATATGCGTTCTGTGTGAACAGCTTGGTTTCAGTTTTGACGTAAACAAGATCTTCTCCGCATTGATGTTCTCTTTTCCCGCAATATTTGTAATTAACAATGCAGCAGCGCCGCATCTAGTGGCTTTAACTGGATAGGCTAACAAAAACATTAAAATGCAACGACACTTACATCGTCATCGCATCTCGTGCGCCACTGAGGCTGCCTCCTTAACACACACCTAAAATTCGAATGCAACGTTTTTGCATTCAAATGTGGATTTTTATTTTAAATGCGACGAATATTCGAAATTCAATTTTTTTTGACAGCCCTAGTGTAGGCTATTTGAAAATTGGACAAAGGTGCAGTCATGATGGAAAGAACTATAATCCTTTGAAACATTGCGAAAGACATAATCAAATTAAAAACGATAAAGAAATATAAAACTAAAGATTTAAAGATGTTGATTATATATAGAAACAATATATTTTGTTTATTGCAAAATATGCATATATATACACAAATATTTAAGTAGTTTGAGAGCATTGGGAAACTACGCCATTTGCAGTGCTTCATCAGAGATGGCAGGTGCTAAAATGTTCTTGTGCGCTTTTCTTGTCGCAATTCTCAGATTGGTGGTGATTTTTTGCTGAATCATGGGTAATGTAGTTTTTCACCAGGAATTCTGCTGTTAAACATGATTATTTCAAAAACAAGATGAAGTAATGTACACATATGGCTTCAACTAAAACATATCATAGCTCAAAGTAGGTCTGTCTTTAATGGTTTGTAAGTTCGTTAAAAATCAATTCCCCTATGGAGAAAATGAGTCAGATTTTTTCTTCTGGAACCCGACTGTTACACTCTATAGAATTAGTGATGTATGTCGTTAAAAAGTACCACTAGTTATTGGAGACCACTGTCCTTAACAAAGAAAAACCTCAGCTCTGTTCAGCACATTTGTTTCTCAGCCCGCAATAAATATCACAGTAAACATTCATAAACTGAGAAATCAAACATTTACTATATGATAAACGCACACATACAGTATGCAGGTATGATGCATGCATGCTCAAGATAACCAGCATATCAGAGCATGCATATGTGATATTGTGAGCTTCTAGTGTTATATTTGACAGGTTTTAATTGTTTTATCCCATATGTGGTTGGTTATATGTGTTAATTGAAACCTGGATTCCTGTGTGCATATGTGTGTTTTATTCCTTAATTGCAAGGGCAATCCCACGGGAAGCCCGAATACACTTAATCAGAAATAACAAGCCAGAGCTCGCCAGTACCTGTGTGTATGTGTGTGACTGTATGTCCATGAGGATAACAGAGACATTGAGAAAGTGAGGGAATGTCAGATGATGACATTAAGTTCTAGGGAGATATGACGGCATTTATATCTCAAGTGTACATGCGTAAATATATATATATATATATACACACACACAGACACAGTCCCCAAGGAAACTCTTAATGACACTGGTGCAAAAACTTCACTGATTGGTTGATCTCCATGGCTACTGTCACTAATGAATCTCCAGGGTTACAGGTGCTTGTCAGCACTGTCAGGGTAACGGTACTGGTTTCCAAGACAACAGGAGTCACTAATGTAAGCTCAGAGTTCATCCGCCTTAGACCGAGAGAGAAGGGAGAGGAAGTGATGAAGTCGGAAAGGAACACTGACAAAGAATGTGAAAAGGAGAACGTCAAAAAAAAAAAAAAAACCTGACTGTTCAAGACAATTATTAACATTTGGAGCATTTCTATTTGTAGATTTTATATAATATTTTTGTATTTGTATATAATGTGTTGTTTGTTCTAAATATA